AAATTGAATATATTCAAAATTAGAATTTATTTACCATGTTGGAGAATTTTTATGATAAAATATACCACGACTATTAGCTACGAACTAGGATGAACAAAATGGGGGATTTGATGACGTGCTCGGACAAAATACCACTTGACACTGAAACCCGGAAATAGTCTATTGTAGGTGCGATTCAGAAGTGTTTTAAAAATACATTCTAGTAGTCATGGCAACTTATTAATTACAGCGTATTTGAATCTATAAAACGCGACCAGACGTTGATCATGACACCAGTTTTCCCATCTATGAAGAAGGCGAACAAACGAATCCATCAACCTACCGCCCTATCACAGAGCTGCCATATTCATGAAAGTTTTTGAAAAATGTATTCATAAGCAGCTAGTTAGAATAGTCATTCTGATGTTTAGCAATCTGGTTTCAGCCCTCATCATTCTACGAGCACTGCATTATGGGAAGTGCCTTAGTATGTTTTACATAATATAATTGACTTTTAAAAGGTGTTTGCCTTAGACCGAAAGCAGGTGTATGATACCATTGAAATTTTACTGTACAGGCTTAGTGGAATAGAGATTAAAGTGCAAACGCACGGATTAGCGATTACCCCCACTATTCGCCAACACTCAGTTTCTATTTAAGACATAGTAAGTGACACAATGCTTGAAGTCTTTGATGTGCCCCAATGATCTATACTAAGTCTATTGTTATTTATCATATATATTAATAATCTTCCTACTGCTCTTTATGCTTCTAAAACACCCGCGCGATTCCGATCTGAAACATGTTCAGGATTGGCTGGATCTGCATAAGCTAACTCCAGATTTAAAAAAAACTAAATGTGTGTTTTTAACACATTCAAATTCTTTTCAAACAGCTGTAGTTTAAATCAATCAATTGAAGAGACTTTTCGCTTACATAGCCTAGTGTCTGGTTTGACCCAAATCTAAATTGGAATTTTCATATAAATGAAATGTGTAATATAATATCTCAAAGATTAAGTGTTCTGAAAAAGGTCAGACAGTTTCTCACAATTGAAACTACTAATATGCTTTATAATGCGAAGGTGTTACCTACTCTATGCTGATGTGGTCTGGTAACTGTGGGTCAACACTTTTTGATCGTTGTATCTTTTACAAAATAGTTCTATCAGGATTATCCTCCAGTGTGTCACACTCAAACGATATACATGAAGTTTTTGAAAAGGTTAAAAATGAGAGAGCGAGCCAATTTCCACAAGAATTTCAAAATAATGCATGAGCATTTGCTGTCATATTTTACTACTATTGTCGAGCCATATCTACCACACACGTCAGAGGTCAAATAAGTGTTTCTATTCTCATCTGCGACAAGTAATTCAAGTAAGCGATTGGTTTGCTTCTCTGCATCTGTTATTTAGAACAGTCTATCCACTTAATTATTGTGAAAACAAGCTCAAATTTGGACGAATTTAAGCGTCTGAGTATAAGCAACCTTAGATGCTTAGTGTTTTTGTTTTATTAAACTATTCTCTTCTAATTACTAGTCAATTACTTCTAATTACTAGTCAGCTACTAGTACTTGTAGGCTCGTTCGCAATTAATTTTTGAAGCGCACAGTTCCCGTCTTGTGCATGGACCATATGAGCCAAATGAACGTTTTTAAAGGATTTTGCTGTGTTTCCAATTTAAATATTTACCTTCCATGGGATGAAGTGACAGATATATATTTGTGGACAACGTTATTGATTATATAATGAGTGACTACAAACGAGTCAGTAGGATGTATGAATTGCTCGGAAAAAATACCACGTGGTACTGAAATGGAATCCGTCTATTGCTAAATCAATTCAGACAAAACACGCCTGCTACAGGAAGGTATTATATGGAAAAAATACTTATTTTTAAATCGCAAGATTTTTGAAAACGTATAGTCTATATTAGGTTTCACCAAACTAATAAGCATTATGTTAA